GGAGGTGACAGTGGTGACGGGGGTGAGGGCAGTGATGGTGGAGGTGATGGGGCAGTGATGGTGGTGGGGTGGAGATGATTGTGGTGAGGGCAGTGATGGTGGAGGTGACGGTGGTGATGGGGGTGAGGGCAGTGATGGTGGTGGGGATGGAGATGATGGTGGTGATGGTAGCTAGTGATGGTGGAGGTGATGGCAGTGATGGTGGAGGTGACGGTGATGGAGGGAACGGTGGGAGTGTCAGTGGGTTCATGTCGCCATCTGGTGGTAATGCCTGAGTATTACATGGAGTCTAGCTCTCCCTGCCCCTAGTTAGGTGTAAGTTGCATTTTGACATATTTTCGTTATGAATACACATGAAAAATGACAGTTTTCTGTGCTACGTAGCTGCTAACAATCAAACAGGAAAAAAAAAATTGCTTAGGCTCTGCCGTTTGGCTGGAAAATGTGGTCACAGTCCAGGGAGCGCCACGCAGCTCGTGGACCTGCCTGGCAGTGCTGTTCCCTAACTGTGCCCTGCTCCCAGCCCAGGATCCGGTCGCGGCCATGGCCGAGGATGGCCGGGAGAAGCCGAAGCTGCCGAAGGAGAGAGAGGAGCTGGAGCAGGCCCAGATCAAGGGCCCCGTGGATGTGCCCGGGCAGGAAGATGCGAAGGAGGCGCAGGAGGCTGCGCAGCTGGATCGCCCCGGGCAAGGTGCTGGGCGCTGGCTGCGGGGTGGGGACCGGGAAGAGGGGTCCCAGTCGCCCTGCGGTGCAAACTCTCGGGGCTGTGTGTCTTCTTCCCTTCAGCACAGCCTGAGTTCTGGTCCTGTCTGCCTTCTCTGCCTTTCGGTTGAGATGAGTGTCCTGCCCCTCCAAGAGTAGCTGCCCCTATTGTCAGGCAGCAGAGAGGCCGGTGGGGAGGTGGTGTCTATTGGCCTGTGTCGACACCACTGGGAACCAGAACTCGTTTCAGATTCCCTGGGAAAGGAAGGTGGGGCCTCAGCCTGACCCCATCTGTCCCCTGTGCGCCTACAGGGATTGCCGTGCCCGTGGGGGAGGCCCACCGCCATGAGCCTCCTGTTCCTCACGACGAGGTGGTGGTAGATGAAGGCCAAGACCGAGAGGCACCAGAAGAGAACAAGCCTCCGTCCAGAGACACGGGCGGAGAAGCTCCAGGGGTCCAGGGCCAGGTGGCACCGCCTCTGCCCGACTCAGAAAGAGAGAAACGGGAGCCGGAGCAGGAAGAGGGTGGGAAGAGGCCTGGACAGGCCCAGGCTTTGGAGGAAGTGGGTGATTTTCCTGAAGATCCCCAGAAAGTTCCAGAAGCAGATGGTCAGCCAGCTGTCCAGCCTGCAAAGGAAGACCTGGGGCCAGGAAATGGGGATCTGCATCCGCGGCCGCAGGCAGCACTGTCTGAGGAGCAGAAGGCCCCGGCAGCGGGTGAAGGGGAAAAGGCCAACGGGGTGCCACCACCAGGCAATGCTGCTGGGGACACGGGGCAGCCCACAGAGGACAGCGACCATGGTGGGTGTCAGCCCGGGCTCGTCTCGGAAGACGCTCCCCTCTCGGGCAGGGGAGGCTGGGCAGGATCGATGGTCTCTCCTTCTGTCCCCAGTCTCTCTCCTTGCACCAGATTAGTATGCAAATGGAGTGGCCTGGCAGCTGGTGGGGACAGGAAGAGGCTGGTGGCTGACAGCTCCTGTAATATCTGTCACACAGTTGTTTGCCAGACCACTAAATGTCAGGTGCCGTGCTGTGCTCGTGTGTCTGGGCGCGTGCGGGGGGCGGCGGGGGCCGCCTGACAGGTAACACGTTGTTAAGTGCCGTCTAAGAGCTGGTTGGGACGGTTCTTGCATTTTAATTGCGAAGGCAGTTCACATTGGCTCATTGCCACGAGCCTGTGAGGTTGTTAAATATTTTTTTATTGCTTCGCTAGTAATCATCAGGTTGAATATAAACTGTGCTAACGGGGGTGTCACTTTAGAAACATCTGCCACCTCCTTTTCACCATCCCTTGCCTTCTGTCCCCCCATCCTCCCTTGACTTTCCTGCAAAACCTCCTGGGTCTTCACCATGTGTGCAGGTGGGAAGCCTCCCCTCCCAGCGGAGAAGGCGGCTGCAGGGGCTGGGCTGCCGGCCGAGCCTCGAGAGCAGAGGGACGTGGAGCGAGTGGGCGGAGACCAGGCGGCCAGCCAGCTGGAGGGTAAGGTCTTGGGCCCAGGGAGCAGCAGCCCCTTCCCCCAGCCCTGGGGTGATGCCCAGACCATCCTAGGGAGCCCTGCCAGGCTCCCGCTTCTCTTTCCAGCTGCCTGCTAAGCGGACCCCTCTGAGAGCTTTCTGCTCCCTTCCCATGAGCAGCTTCCTTTCTGGCACCTCCCAGGGAACGTTTGCTCTCCCTTACTCCCCTTTAAACACCTGTGGCATTGGCATGTGGCTCATGATGACCGTTTTGTCTTATTCTAAAGCAGGTTTGTTAACAGTTCTAACACTCGCAGTATATTTAAAGCCAGCCAGGTGTGGGAGTGCCTGCACCCAGGTGTGTAGGTTTGTTTTAAGGCTGTGCCTGGAGGGGACCCGGCTTGGGGGTGGCTGTACCCTGGCCCAGAATGTTCTCCTGCACCCTCAGCCCTCAGAGCTCGGCTGTGTTCATCTGCAGGGATCTGTCCCCTGTGCCTCCAGGAAAGCTCCTCATACCTTTGCCCTCCTGAGAATAAAGCTTGCGTGAATTCTCCTCCAAACCTTCCTGCCCCTTGGTTCCCAGGTAGTGGCTTTTTGTGACCCCTTCTTGTGGCTTCACGCAGTTAGGGCTCCGCCTCTGCAGGGAAGGTAACAGCAGCTCACTGTGGGTCTGTGGGTTAGCCCTCTGTGCCATGTCCTCTCCCAGGCTGGGGGTCCACTCACGCTCTGAGGGCGTGTGGCTGAGCCCCCACTCCCCAAAAGTCCCCTGCATTTCATGGGAGCGTCCATGCCTTCTCTCAGGATGCTCAGCCCTGCCCATTCGGGGTCCATGTGTGCCTCGGCATCGAGAGGGTCTGTTCTGGGGGTCTGTGTGGGTCACATGGCACAGCTGCTCCGGCTCCGGGGCCAAGCCCCTGGGAGAGGGTCTGGGAGCCCCGGGCCAGCTTTGGCGTGGGCAGTTCTTCCCAGGGCGTTTGTAAGACATGCACTTCCTCCCCAAGCACCTTGCCATGTGGCTTCAGGACAGCCAGGCCCGAGGGAGGCCAGGTGCAGCACCATGTCCCAGCCGCTGCGGCCTGACTTCTCAGGGTGCAGCTCGCCATCCTGGCACCTGCTGCGCAGCAGGCAGGGCCGAAAGCACACCCGGGGCTCCCGGAGCTCTTCAGAAGCTCACGCGTGGGGTTTTGTCTCAGGCTTTAGTCCGGCTGTGGTTGTTTTTCAGTTTCTATGCTCTGTGACCTGAACCTGTTTGATTCTTTTGATTTTCTTGTTTCTGAAAAAGACTTTTCACGGTTTCCTACTCTGCCTTTCTTCCATATGCCTCTCAACGGGACGAACAGCTGAAATTAAAAAGATAGTAGCAGGTACGCACGGAAAGCAGTGTGCTGAAGTACAGAGCGTGTCTGAGTGTTACAGAGCTGAGTGCTGCCTCGAGGTGGCACACCTGCCCCGGGACAGCCCTCCTGGGGACACGTGCCGGACCGGCGCTCATGCTCAGGGGGGGTCCTGATGCCCACTCCGCTCCCTTGTGTTACAAATGCTGGGGTCCTTCTCAGCCCACTGTGGCCTTGCCTGCCATTGGAGGGTGGCTGGCCTCTGAAAGTGTCTAAGGGCAGGCTGCTTAGGACAGCAGCTGACAGGGTGGGCCTGCGCTGCTCTCTCATGAGCCGCCTTGAGAGATCCTGTGTGGCCTCACTAGGGGGCAGCTTCATGCCGTCTGCCAACCTGGTCCTTATGGTCTTGGTGGGCTCTGGCTGTGGGGACAGCCTGTCTCCTACATGGTGCTTCACATGTGTCCCATGTGGCTTCTCCGCTCCTTCCTCCCTCCCCCTCCCCCTTTTTCTGCCACCTCTTCCTCTTCCCTCCTCCCTTCTCCCTCCTTCTCCCTCCTCCTTTACCCTCCTCCCTCTTCCTCCTCCCTCCTCTTCCCTCCTCCCTCTTCCCTCCTATTCCTCTTCCCTCCTATTCCTCTTCCCTCCTCTTCCTCTTCCCTCCTCCCTCTTCTTCCTGCCTCCCTCCTCTTCCTCCTTCTCCCTCTTCTTCCCTCCTCCTTTTCCCTTCTCCTTCCTCTGCCTTTCTCCCTCCTCTTCCTGCCTCCTTTTTCTTCCCTCCTCCTTCTTCCTCCTCCCCCTCCTCCCTTCTGTCTCCTCCTTTCCTCCTCCTTTCAGCACCAGGCCAGGGCTAGTCCTGCGAGGAGCAGGTGAGGTCGGGGGGCCTGCTGTTCCGAAACCCTGCCCTGGGGTACGGGGAGGTGTTGGCAGCACATGGGATCTTGTCCTTGTACCATTGACCATTCCGTGTTGAGCCCTGCAGCACCCAGGGTGAGAGCGTGGCCCGTGGCCGAGGTGGCCGGTGTGCCACCTGCGCTTCCCCATGTGAAAGGAAGTTTGTGGGAGGCCTGCTTGGCCTGTCATGGCCTGTCCCTGCAGGCAGGCATCTGGCCCCAGTGCTAGCAGGGAGCTGGGGCTGCTGCTAGAGGGCTGGCCCTGTCCCCCACATCCGGGGGTCTGGGAGAAGGCTGACCCTGCACTGTTCTGGCTGGTCGCGGTGTCCGCCTGACATGCAGGGCCCTCACTGAGATGTTTGCTCTCACCACTCACAAAGCATCCTTCTTGCTCCCCTGAACCTTTACGCCTTACAGCCCTAACCCGTCATTTTCCAGCGGTTCCTATGATAATTTGCAAACGTGTTATAAGAATGACACAAACCACAGCTGCTTGCAGCAAATAACTGGCCAGTGCTGAAGCGGGTCTGACCGGGCCTCCTGCAGCAGGTGCGTGCCGGTGTGCCCCGGGCAGGCCTGTCCTTGGGCCCTTGCTGCCGGCACCGGCCCTTAACGCTGGGTACTCCAGGGCCCCCCGTCATGCAGGGCCTTCCCAGAATTTCCACAGTGGACGGTGGTCCGGACGGCTGGCCGGGGCCCCACTGATGCTCCAGCTCCCATGTTCCCCTTGAAAGAAGACAGCTTGTTTGTTTTTTAAATTGTCGTCTTGGAGAAAACTTAAAGTAGCAATATTCTTTTCAAAATATAGCTTATCATTTTTCTTCCACCCCCCCCCCCCCTTTTTTGAGACAGGGTCTTGCTCTGTTGCCCAGGCTGGAGTGCAGTGGCTCGATCACGGCTCACTGCAGCCTTGACCTCCTGGGCTCAAGTGATGCTTTCACCTCAGCCTTCTAAGTAGCTGGGGGTACAGGCGTGCACCACCATGCCCGGCTAATTTGTATTTCTGCATTTCTTTTGTAGAGATGGGGTCTTGCTATGTTTCCCAGGCTGGTCTCTAACTCCTGGGCTCAAGTAATCCTCCTGCCTCGGCCTCCCAAATTGCTGGGATTACAGGCGTGAGCTGCCGTGTCCAGGCTTATTTTCTCATCTGCTTGGCCTAGAACAACTGAATGTGTAAATGGAAAAAGGAAAAAAACCCACCTAGGCCAGATAACCATCCCTGACATTCTGACGCATTCCTTTTGACTCTGTGTTGCTTTGGAAACTCATTTTCAGTGGGTAACAAGCAAGTTTGCTGGGGTCCCGTCGGCAGAGAGGCTGGCTGTGCAGGAGGGGCTGTTGGGGGTGTCCTGGGGGCAGTCAGGGCACAGCCTCTCCTGGGCCAGGCCTGTGTGTCTCAATGAGCTGTCCGGGCACGCGTCATGGTCAGGTTCATGACGAGTGTGCCAGTGGCGGCTGGTCCCAGCACACTCCCTGCAGGTGACCTGTGCGTGGCCTTGCTGTGGGCTGGTGCCGTCCTTGGCCCAGCACGGTGTGTGGGCACCCTCTGACTGTGCGTTTTCCAAACCCAGAAGCTGGCAGGGCGGAGATGCTGGACCATGCTGTCCTGCTTCAGGTGATCAAAGAACAGCAGGTGCAGCAAAAGCGCTTGCTGGACCAGCAGGAGAAGCTGCTGGCGGTGATCGAGGAGCAGCACAAGGAGATCCACCAGCAGAGGCAGGAGGATGAGGACGACAAGCCCAGGCAGGGTAGGCGGGGCGGCAGGCAAGGGGGCGGGGCGGCTCCTGCTGTCCTGTGTGGCTGGGTCTAAGGCCCTGTGGCCTGTCCTGAGGGGGAGTCTGGGTTTTGGTTGCTGGTGTCAGTGGTTGCTATGGTCTCAGGCCCCGTGGCCTTTCCTGAGAGTGGTTGCCAGCTTGTTGTTTTGAGTCCCTCCACTGGCAGCCTATGTTCAGTGCCGTGGCTAAACTGATGACTGACTTCATTTGCAGTGGGCATGCAGCCAGAGCCCGGGGTGGCAGTGCCCAGAGGCCAGGAGGCCCCCGAAGGCAAGGCCAGGGATACGGTGGAGAATCTGCCTCCCCTGCTTTTGGACCCTGCCCTCAGAGCTCCTGGGGGCCGCCCTGCTCCATCCCAGGACCTTAACCAGCACTCCCTGGAGCACCTTGAGGGGGCTGTGGGCAGAGAGCCTGCTGGCCCTCCAGATGGCGGCTCTGACACGGAGCCACGGCCAGCCCCGGCCAAGCTAAGAGACGGCCAGAAGGATGCTGCCCCCAGGGCAGCTGGCACGGTGAAGGAGCTCCTCCCTAAGGTCGCGGAGCAGGTGCTTGTGCCGGACCCCGCCAGGGAAGCCGGGGGCCCAGAGGAGGGCCTCGCAGAGGAATTCCCCAGGCAAAATCAGGATGTTCCTGGTGGTGGTTCCCAAGAAAGGAAGAAACCTGGGAAGGAGGTGGCAGCCACTGGCACTGGCATTCCGAGGGAAGCCAACCGGCTGGAGGCAGGGCCAGGAGCAGAGACAGGGGACCTTCGTGTGAAGTCCAAGCAAATGAGCCGAGGCCTGGGCCTTGCAGAAGGCCTGCCTGGCAAGTTGGAGGGAGCAGCCATGCAGCCCCAGGCTGCGTTACGCCAGCCGGAGCGACGGGTCATCTCTGATGGTGAGCAGGATGGACAGCAGGGCCACCAGCTAGACCATGGTGGTCACCTGGAGATGAGAAGGGAGGCCCACGGCGGGGACCACGTGCCTGTGTCCCACAAGCAGCCAGGAGGTGGGGAGGACACTGCTGTCCAGGAGCCCAGGCAGAGGCCGGAGCCAGCGCTGGGGCCCAAACGAGCTGCCCCCATGGCCCAGAGGCCGGACAATGCCAAGCCCAACAGAGACCTGAAGCTGCAAGCTGGCTCCGACCTCCGGAGGCGGCGGCGGGACCTGGGCCCTCGTGCAGAGGACGAGCCGGCCCCGAAGGACGGAGTCATCATTGGCTTTAACCCCCCACCTGATGTCCAGGTGAACGACCTCCGTGGTGCCCTGGATGCCCAGCTCCGCCAGGCTGTGGGGGGCGCTTTGCAGGTGGTCCACAGCCGGCAGCTTAGACAGGCGCCCGGGGATCTGGGGGAGGCCTAGCACCTGTTGGCCATGAGGGCCACGCCCACCACCGCCACGGCAGCACGTCTCTCCCGGCCACGTTCTGGCGGAACTCGAGGTCACATGCACTCTTCCCCAGGGTTTCACATCTGAGGCCCTCACCAAGTGTGAGTGCAAGTATAAAAGATTTCACTGTCTGTGGCATTGTTTCCAGAATGTTCTTGCTGTTATTTGTTGCACCTCTTAGTCTGAGGTCCTCTAACCTCTCGCCTCTGAGCTCACTACAGCCTGTGAGGAACGACCTCCAGGGTGAGCTGGCCGACGTGCTTTCTCCCAGGCTCAGGCTGGGGAGCTGCTGCGACTGGGGCCAAGCCTCCCGCTCCTGCTGAGAGCACGTCTTCAGGCTGAGCTCGGCCGGCGGCCATGCGTGGAGGCACACGTGGCTGCCGATGGTCCCAACACAGGCTACCGTGAGAGCCAGTGTCAACCCCAGACTTCAGTGACTCAGAATTTTCAGTTTATTGATGTTTCCCACAGTGTGGTAGAAATCTTGAATAAATTCTTGTGCCTTCGCCTGCCTGGGTGGATGCTGCTTGGTGTCTGGGAAGCACAGGGAGCAGGGCCGGGCTCTTGAGGGGCCTCCAGGGGGGCTGGCTGGTGTCACCTTCTGCACTCATGGTTGGCACAGCCTCTGTAGTCTGTTTTTCGACGTTGAGTTGTGGGCTTTTTAAAAACTAAGAACTACCACTGACACCTGATTAGTGATGCTGGTCCGGGGAAGTGACTGGAAGGAGAGCCAGAGGCTGGCCCCGGATTCCAGATGCACACAGCGGAGGCCAGAGGCTGCGAGGGAACAGTACTGTGACCTGCGCCCCATGGTGACTGGACACCAGACGCAGCACAGTTCCAGAGAGACGCTGCGAGCAGGCAGACCCGCTTGTGCAGGGAGCTCGTCCAGCCCCCAGCCCCCAGGGCCAGGCTGACGGGCATGCTGCCCTGTGACCAGGACAAGCGACACAGCCTCTCACCTGGAGGGAGGAGAGGGGAGGGTGCCACTGTGTCCACAGTGCACAATGGTTGGGCGCTGCATCCCTGCATCTGCGTCGGCTCGTCCTCTGGGGAGCGTGCGCCATGAAGGGCAGAGGGGCCCGTCAGGGTCAGGGCCTGGGCTTGGGGGAGGCGTGTGTTGGTGAAGGTCCCTGCACGGAGGGCCGGGCCTCGGCCTCTGGTGGCGTCTTCCACCTGCAACTTTTGAAATCCTTTTGGCATTTCGTTGTGGCATCTTACTTTGAAGGAAAGACACCACAATAACCTTCAGGCTGGGCAGCCTCAAGACTGGAAATTGTTTTTTTTTTTTTTTTTTGAGATGGAGTTTCACTGTCACCCAGGCTGGAGTGCAGTGGGGCGATCTCTGCTCACTGCAACCTCCAGCTTCCCAGTTCAAGTGATTCTCTTGCCTCCGCCTCCCAAGTAGCTGGGACTACAGGCACCCACCACCACACCCAGGTATTTTGTTTTTTTTTTTTTTAGTAGAGACAGGGGTTTCACCTTGTTGGCCTGGCTGGTCTTGAACTCCTGTTCATGATCTGCCCGCCTTGGCCTCCCAAAGTGCTGGGATTACACGTGTGAGCTACCACGCCTGGCCTGAAGATGAAATTATAGGGAAGCTTCTGGAGGCTGAGCGGTGACTCCTGCTGAGCCCTGGGGGCTGGGACGGGGCTGAAGGGCTGGGGGCGCTGCTCAGCAGGCAGGAGGTGCCCCGCAAAGATGGTTCAGTCCCAGTCTTTCTGTCCTTCATTAAAAACAATTCCAAGTGAACCACGGCTCAGTGGTAAAACACCTCCCAGATACTCCCCTCAGACTGGCACTCCGTTTGTTCAATTGCTTGGAGTGGGATTTTCATTCCGGCTGGATTTCCCCAAATATCTTCGTGTGACCCACTTTTCTTTTTCTTCTCTGGAGGTTACCCCGGCCTCCCCCCCTTTCTGCTAACTGCTGCCGTTAGAGCAGGACAGGGCCGCCCTCCACCAGCACAGAGACGCATCCGTGACGGCCCTCCTCTGCCGTCACCCGCCCTGCTGCGCCCCTGCGCCCCCGCGCCCCCAGCCACATGCAGGGTCACTCACTCCTTGCTCGCTTCCCTATTCCTGCCCACCCCCACCCCCAGCCCAGGTGGCACCCGTCAGGGAAGGAAAGAGAAATTTATTTCCCCGGAAGCCTGGCAGACCCCTGGGTGGGGCTTGTCAGAACTGCACGGAGTGGCCTGGGGCCAGGATGCACTCTCTGAGCCACCTCAGGCTGCTCTCTGGTCAGTCCTGGTGCTGTCACCGGGCCGTGGAGCCTGCCTCCGGGGACTCAGTTCCAGGGCAGGGCAGCAGGAACAGCGCTGCCCCATCCCCGTGTGCTTCTTCGTGGGAACAGACTCGCACAGCAGGCTGGCCAAGGGGTGGATACGGCCTGAGCGCCAAGGCACTCGCTGTCATTTGATGTGTCCCCCCAAAATTCAGGAGATGCCTAAGTGATAGTGTTGAGAGTGACTAGGCCCCGAGGGCTCCTTCCTGGCTGCAGGAGTAAGAGCCTCACAGAAGTCTGCATGCAGCATGCAGGTCCTCCGCTCCCTATCCCTCCGCCTTCTGCAGCCTCAGGACACAGCACAAAGGCCCTCCCCAGACGCCAGGGCCAGTGCCTGGATCTCTGGCTTCCCAGCCAGCGGAGCTGAGAAGTCAGGCTGTTCTTTGTAAATCATGCAGTCTCAGGTGCTTGGTTGGGGCAGCAGGAGCGGCTTAAGTGCGGCTGAAGCAGAGCTCTGCATGGTCCTGGCGGCCTGGAAAGAGCAGAAGCCCCCCACTGCCCACCTTCCTGCGCTGTCCATCGGTGCAGTCCTGAGAGCCAGTGACTCAGGGAGGAAGGGCAGGAACAAAGGCGGAGGGCGGTTTGTAAGAGAATTTGAGGGGGTGGAAGAGGGGTGTCCCCAAGAGGCCTGAGAGCTGAGCTTGGAGGTGTGGGCCACAGGAAGCGGCAGGTCTGTCTGCAACCACCTCACACACGGGGTGAAGGACAGCGGTGTGTGGGCAGGACGGGTGGGCCCACGGAGGAGGGATTTGAGCTGCCAAAGGGCAGAGGAGAGGGCGTACGTGCCGTGAGACTAGCTCAGGATGAGTGCGCACAAGCGAGGGGCAGGTAGGGGTGGGGGCAGCCGGGCCTGCACGCTGGGGAGGTGGGTTAGGCAGGTGGGCCAGGGCAAGGCATCTGAGTCTCTGGCCTACACAGGGATGGGCTGCGGTGGCTTGGCTCCAGCAGTCTGGTCTGGATTCCTGTGGTTCCCAAGATGTGACTCTATCCTGGGCCTTGGGACAAAATCTAACACTCTGGAGACTCACAATGCCCAGCTCCAGCAGACCCTCCACCCAGATGAGACGGCGGGTGTTTGACCCTTAGGGGAAACCAGGCTAATTCTGGGACAGCATCTGAGGAGGAAACAGGGAGGTACAGACCTCAGCCCACGGCGTCAGCTGCTCGCATGGGCCTGGGGACAGGCGCAGGCCACAGCCCCAGGACGGCGAGACCTCCACACTCGGGAGCAAGGGAACGCCTGAGGCAGTCCCTGCCACGCCCGGCAGGTGGCGCTCAGGCCCCACAGATTCCCGAGTCTCCCTGTCAGCAAGTGCCTGGGCAGGGTCAGGGTGTTGCCCTTCTCACCTTAGTTTCAGGTCCAGTGGTGTGATAGGGAGGGGGATGAGAGGGCAGGAGCCATCAGTGACGTACCTGGGCTGCTGAGGGGGTGACCAACCCCACCCCACAAAGGAGTGGCAGTGGCTGCTGGTGCCCTACATAGGCCCCTCTTGGAGGCTCAGGCCCTTTTGTAAAGAGCCCCTGCCTTACCCCATGTCCAAGAAAGCCACCTTCAAGGACCCTGCCCCATGGGGTGTCCCGTCCTCATCTTTGGTGTGTGCTGTATGCCCGTAGTGAGGTCTGCAGGCTTCACCAGATTCAGATTAAATACCTTAGTGAGAATGTCTTAAAACGGACATTTTGAGGCAGAGTGTCCCTGAGTCCCACCCCTGCCCTTTTTAGGGGAGAAGCCAAGGCCCACAGATCACAGTCTGCACACAGTAAGCCCCACGCTGCAGGACCTGACGGAATCTTTATCGTTGCTTCTGTTACATCTTATTCTAACTCAAGTCCTTACAGACAAGGCTGGAAAACCAATTTCTGCTCTACCCACACCTCAACTTGCTGAGAAGAAACAGGATCTAACGTCAGGAAGTCACATCTTCGCCATTCCTCTTCCTTTCTGCCCTGGGCATTCCATGTGTGCCACCAGGCGCCATCAGGACAAGGGCTCTGCACCCACAGCAGCAGACAGGTGTGAAGCTCAGAACCTCCTAACAGCCTCCCTCCAGCGTCTTCTTGGCCTGCAAGATAAAGTGTTTTGTCTGAATGGCTTGCTTCCAAGTTAGACACAGCTTGAAAGAAAGCTACCACAGCAGATGCCGTGTTCTACCAAATACAGAGACTTCGGTGCTGGCACGTGCTGGAGGCTCGACTGGTTGGAGAACCATGGGCTGGTTCTCTGGGTCAGTGGTTCAAGGGACAAGGGCCTTGTGACACCATTACAGACCTCACTGGTGTGCCCTCCTCTGACCCCCACCACATGCCACATTTGCTGCCATGCTCTCATGAAGGGAAAGCAGGAGTCCTCCCCCACAAATTTTTTTTTTTTTTTTTTATAGAGACGGGGTCTCTGTATGTTGCCCAGGCTGGTCTCAAACTTCTAGGCTGAAACAATTCAGTCACCTCAGCCTCCTAAAGTGGTAGGATTACGGGTGTAAGCCACCATACCCGCAAAAGTACAACTTCTGATGAGTCACCCACCCTTGCATCCAAGGCTGCTGGGGGCAGGCAGGAATGAAGGCTGTGGAGCTTTTATTCAAATATCCTTTCTCTGGCCCAAATCTCTGGATTGACAGCTTCCAGTAAACAGAGTCAGCACCGGCGTCACAGCCCGCCCAGACACACTGAGTCGGGGCGCCCGAGGTGGTACCCAGTGAGGCTGACACTTAGGGAAGCAGCCTCAGAATGACTTAAAGACCCACGGTCAGGAAGCCCATCGTGCCAGTTGTGAGGGTGGCGGGGGGGGGGGGGGGGGCCCGGCTGGGCAGGTGCTGAAGGAATCTACCGCAGCTGCACAGGTGGCTGCGAGTGCCGGGGAAGCGAGACCCAGAAGGTTCTGGGACTTGCTGGGAGCCCTGTGTCGGGTCGATGCTGGCATGACACCCCTCGGCGGCAGTGCCAACACGAAAACTTAACGCGTTTTACAAGGCGCCTTCTTGCACACACCCCTCATCCTTTCTGAGATTAGTGCCAGTCCCGCTTTACAAACATGCAGGCACACACCCAGGACCGCCGAGGTTTCGCGGGCTCGTCGGCGGCTCGGGGGTTTGGTCAGCCGGGGTCTAAAGCACGCAGCGCAGCTCAAACTTTGAACCAACGGGGAAGCAAAGGAAGGCCGGGGCCCGCCGGCCCTTGGAGGGGGAGAGCGCGGAGGGGCCCGCGCCCACCTACCGCGGCGGCGAAG